TATATCAAACATTCTATTATTTCACTCAGTATTGTGTAAAATTACTGCCCTTACAGTATAACAAGTTAAGTTACACGCCTGTCCATAACAGTTGCAGTGCCACTCAGAGCTTCTAATCGCAAAGATCGGAGGCTGCCCTCGTCACCCTGAGACATAAGTTGACAAGTCCCATGTGCCTGTAATTTCACCAGCACCCAAATCCTTGAAAATCGGAACACAGTAATGCTGACATAACTGCTTGGCAGCAGAAATAGCTAAAGTGGCAGTACTACCCTGGATGAACTTTTTCACAAAGCGCTCTACAGCTTCTAAAATATGATAACAAAAGGAGATGTTGTTTATTAGTCACGAACGTACAATGTAACGGCTTTACGGGCTTATAATTTTTAATGTCATGAATTAGCACAATGATCCTTATAAGCCTTGTAATACGAGGATAAAATAGCTGAAAAAATTGCTATAATAAAGCATGGGTAACCTCCGTTGTAACGAGATTTTTTTAAACTAATTGGCACTAAATTACTTTGTGCCAACGTCAAAGTAAAAGGTTAGGAAATGGGCGGGAGAAAAAAAATACATTTTATAGACATTGTATAACTTCGTTTTCGAGAGGTCATCATATCCGAGTGGAGTCAATTCAGGGTGTAGATTATTTTATTATTATTCAGAAGCTGTAGAGCTACTTGAAAGAACTGTTCGTCTAGGGAAGTACTGCCTCTTTATCTGTTTGTGCCGCCGTTAAGGGTGGTAGTAAATTTACAGTGACATGGGACTTGTCAACTTATGTCTCAGGGTGACGGCCGCAGTAACAACTTGGCTCAGGTTTTTACTTCCCTGGACGAACTCTTTCACAAGGAGCTCTACTGCGACTAAACTGACTCTTGCCTAGTTTAGAAGTTAGTTTCTTAAATGTATTAAGCCTTCCTTTAACCGTCTTATATTATAATAAAAAATCTTTATTTTGGTATAAATCCATTAATAATTTATCTTTTCCATTACAATGCATTCACCATATCATATCATATACATCCTGACTTCACCCACTGCTATCTATAGGCCTCCAAGTTTCTGTGCCACTCCCCACGATCCCGTGCTAATTTTATCCAGGTTCGTCCCCCAATTCCCGCGATGTCATCTGCCCATCTCGCCGCTGGACGCCTGACGTTGCTGTATCCAGTCCTTGGACGCCACTCAATTATCACCTTACTCCATCTGTCATCTTGTCTCCGTATCAGATGTCCTGCCCAGCTTTTAGCATCTGCCTTTAGCATCGTGATGCGGTTCCCCATGTCCTTTACCTTTGTTCGACTTCGAATCTGGACATTGAGAACATGGTCTAAAAGCTTGATACCGAGCATGGCACTGTCCCTGTGCAACTCTTATGCAACAATGCATTACATTAATGATGAAACATGAATTGTACAGTGTCGATGAGTTTCTTTTGAAACAATTTTAATTTTATTTTATTCGACAAGCAGTAGTTATACTACTTTATTTTATATTCATTATTATTATTATTATTTTGTTACTGACGATCATAGTTATCCCTTGACATTGTATTTCCAATTGTAATATTGTGACATTAATAACATGAAATAAACGATTCTATTCTATTCTATTCTATTCATTACTTTTGTTTATTTTATAGAGACACTTAAAAATCTTGAATAAAGTACTTAACTAAATATAATATTATTATTATTATTATTGATGTAGTTATCTGGTATATTATTATTATAAAAGCCGTGTGAAATGGACCATTCTCTTCCGAAACACCGAAAGATTCGAAATATAATGAAGTGATTTATTAAATTACGAAATTATGACGGCCGGTATTACGACGGTAAGTCTGTCGATTTTCGAAGCCGTTTGGAATTTCAAAACGGATCTTTTGACGGATAGGGATGTGTATACAGTACAATTAGTCATAATATCTTTCGCCTGTTTTCGAATTTCCGAATGCAAACGAATACAAATTTCTATAAAGCATTGGTTTTTTAAAAGTCTGGTTTGTTATTTTACTTTTTTATTCTAGGTTAAATTTGAAAACAAAACATTAGTCGACAGTAAATTTTTTTCATTAATTAATTTGATTAATTGCCCACTAATATAGGTTTGAAGCCGTGGTAGCCTAATGGTTTGACCTACTGCCTCTCAAGCAGAGGGTCTGGGGTTCGAATCCGGCCTCGCACCTCTAAATTTCTCGGAATTTATGTGCAAAATTTAATATGAAATGCATCATGAGCTCTCCGACAAAGGAAAACATCGTGATGAAACTTGCACGTCGAAGAAGGTTCACAATCCTCGGAAAACGTGTGACGTTCCCAACTATGGCCTAAAACCTCGTCAGAAAGGAGACCCGTGCCCAGCAGTGGGACGTATAAATGGGTTGATGATTCATATATAGGTTCGTGAAGTTGTAAATTTCTTAAACATTAGTTGAAAAGGTTGAAAAAGGTTTTTTGTGTCTTAAAGTTTTTTAAAATTAATGCGAAACTATCACTATTTTTAAAGCTGTTTCTGCTTTGTCACAAAATTTAAAAAAATGCGTTTTTTTAAAGTTACATTTTTATTAATAAAAGTTTTGTGAGGTTGTACTAAGTCGCTATTAAAAGATTTTAATTTAATTGCTACGTTAAGTGTAATTCTTATTAGTAGCAATACAAAAGTTACTATTATATATTCTTACTGTGCTTTTGTCTCGCTAAATTTGCCGTTGTATGTAGTTATACTTGAAAAAAGCGGAAAACAAGTCGAAAATATAGACTGGATAAAAGTGGATGAGTGTTGCACAAAATGCACTAAAGAGATTTTTAAATATGGAATTCACAGAATTTTTAAATATGGAATTCGTATTATTTCTCATTTTCTATGATCCGTTTTGAAAATAAAAATAAAACAGTATACGAAAGAATTAAAATAAATAAAAACGAGAGCTCTAAAAAGGTTTGACATAAGCAATAAATTGCCCTTTTTTCTGTTATCCTTTTTTCCTTTTTGTTACACGCATGTGGGTAGATATGTCTCTATATTTATATATTTGGGCACAATACGACTAAGGGAACCAAAAGCGATAAGTTGAAGAATTGTACTGATAGAAATCTAAATTAATAGGCACATTGAATTGTCATATGGGGCTTCGAAGAGGTATTTTAAGAAAAAACACAATTTTCCAGAACATGATATCTGATGGAAAGCTTTACAATTGAAAATATTTCAAATAGAATCTTAATAAGTATAACTTCACCTTTATACTACGGGAATTAAGATTGAACTGCAAGCTTAGCATGAGGGGTAATAGACAAAACTTAAGCGCGCAGAGATATCTCTCTCTTCTGTACCGATTATGTCTCACCTCCGAGCACGACGTAACAGGAAATGAAACTCTCTACCGTAGACAAAGTTTTCTCTACGTAGCGATAAATAAGTTGCCCTAAAATTACCTTTCATTTTCATAGCGGTCACACTAAACCGGTAATAGTTTTTAAGGGCGCAACTCTAACTCCCTTCATTCATTTCCGCCGTGACGTTTTTTTAGGGTTTATGGCGTACATTAAATCAATGAAAATAAAAGGTAACACTAAATAGATTTTAAGACTTTCGTGGTTATTCACTTAATGATTATTACTAATATCAGGTTTCTTACCACGGTACCGTACGGTAGTACGGTACGTACGGTACGTACGGTAGTCATACCGTGGTAAGAAACCTGATATTAGTGATAATCATTTAGGTAACACTAATTTTGTCAAAAAATCATATTGATATTATTGTTGACTCCAAAGCGCATTTTGATGAAAAAAATCTATCTTGTGTTTATTAAATTTTTATTGAATTGATATTCAATTATTTTTGTGAAATTACT